TCAAAAAGAGTCCACAATCGATTTTTAAAAGATTATTTTTTTAATGAGGAAGTTAATTAATTAACCGTAACGAATTTAAAAGTTGATTCTTTTTAAAAGATATGCGTAAATTTTGTCTTTTTTTTTTTCTTTTTTTTTTAAATGATAAAGAAACACAAACGGATATCTGCAAAATCTTGTCTCCCTGCACACCCATCTTTCACAATTCCTATCACAAAGATACCAAATTGATTTTAATTTAGCTTTTGTTGGTCCGTAGAGACCTGATATGGAACTTACTTACTTGTCCATAAATCCGTGCCCCTCCCTCATGGTTGGGAACATTGTTTAAGGTCCACGGCTCAGGGAGTTGGCAACCCTACTTTTTCAAGACATAACCTATGACAGGGGATTTTGGCTCACCACAAATTCACTTTCTTTGTGAATTTGCCACAAATTGTTTCCGTTGTTTTCTCTATACGGGAATGCGGAAAAAAAAATGAATGCAACAGGCTAGGCGGCAATTTGAACTCGCTTTGCCGATTTTCACTTTCCGCGTCGACAACTATTCATTCTACCCGTCATAAGTAGTTATTTACTTTTATTTATTCAAATAGATTAATATTAATTAATTAGCCAAATTGATGCGTATATAATTTATTTTAGTTACCTAAGAAGAAAAAGATGTCATTATTAAAATATTAGTGAATTTTTTTTTTTTTTTTGCAGTTGAGTAACCTCAGCTGCTCATTCTTTAATCTTTATCTTTCTTTCCCAACCATAAATCTGTTTCTGTTTCTCCATAGTTTTTTTTTTAATAATTAAATCAGCGTGATTTCTAATTCTCGTTTGTTTGAAATATGACAACAATCAAAGTCTTGTTATGACAACCGTATCTTCTTGTGTTACTTTTCTTTCGACAATAACCAATGCTGTTGATCAATGTAAGCAGTTTTTATTACTTCAATTGATTTTTTTAAAGAAATAATAAATTTAACTAAAATGTAAAAATATAACTAAAAAAATTAATATTTTTGTCATTTTAAAAAATTTTTAACGAAATAATTTTCCTGATATTTTTTTTAATTTTAATAAATATCACGTCATCGAATTATTTTGAAATGTTTTATGTGCGTTAATTTCCCAATTTTATTTAAAGAATTTAAAAAAATATTATTTTTATTACTTTTTAGTTTTTCTTATTTTTCCCATCTGAAAATTCTATTCAGATTTTACAATTTACAAAAGTAAAAACTTAAAAAATTGATAAAAAGCGTGACAGTTTAGGAATAATCGTCGTTTCACTGTTTTTTAGTTTTTGTTTTTTTGTTTGTTTTTGTTTTACGATTAATGAAAATTGAAAAAAAATACATTTAGCTAAAAAACATGTTGACAATATTATAATTTATGACTAAATGGTGGCACAGCAATATGAGTATGACTAAGAAGCGGGTGCCTTAGTCACTAAGGACGTCTAAATGAGAAAAAAAAATCTTGTTTCAATTATGTCCAACTGAACCCAAACGTTCGATATGAAAAAAAATAAATTAAATAACACGAACACCGTAGTTAATTAAATTTGAAAGTTTCCCATTCAATCACATTTACGTTTGGTTTCTTAAACTAAAACTTCTATTTAAGAACGGTGATTTAGCGAAAAAGAAAAAATCAGTAAAATAAAAATAAAATTCAAAATCTTTATCTGCTCTACATTGAAAACTTAAACTAAAAAGTACGGAATTTTTGTAGAAAAAAAGTATATTTTTCTTTACTTTGAATAAATATAATCTTCATTCATTCAGGGAATTAATTTTTAAAAAGTTTTTAGTAGGGTCTTTCTTTAAAAACAAAGACCTAAACTAAACAACATTCATAAATAAAAAATAAAAAAAAATAAAATAAAAAAGATAATGTTGCCTTTTCTTTTTGTCTAAAACAATTCGTGGACAAGTAACAAATCATAGTCAACTTTAATGTTAATGCCAATGGTAAATAAGTTGGACATACACAAAAACTAAAAGTAAAGGTTCACTTTTTTTGGTAATAAAATCAAACACCACTTTTTAAGAGACAATTGCGAGTTTTTGTTTTAAAATTTTCTCAAAAATTAAACCCGAAACAATTGATCGCCCACGGACTGAAAGGACTTCACTAAGCATATAAAATAAAAACAAAAACATGAATTTATTACAATAAACTTCAAGAAAATTATGTTCGGGGGAAAAAAAATCAATTAACGTGCACTTTTTTTCTTTCTTTTTTTTTTTTCCATTTAGCTTTAGCATGGTTGCTCTGTCGACAAGATTATAATTAAATAATTTTTTTTTTTTTTTGCATTAACTAAAGAAAGAACTATGGGACTTAAATTGAAATATAATAATATAAAAAATTATTTAAATTAAAATGTAATAATATAAAATAATTATTCAAATTAAAATGTAATAATATAAAAATTTGATTTTTACCAAAAAATTTTAATTGTTACAGTAAATGAATTGAAATGTAAATGAAATTTGAATGCATTTTTTGTAGCTTTTCGAACATTTCATTATTAAAATAAAATTAAACGTTTTTTTACTTTTTTTTTTAATAATTGGCATAAAATCAATCGTTTTTTGTTTTTTTCAAGGCTTTTGAAGGGTGATTTTGAATATTATTTTAATTATTAAAATAATATAAATCAGTAGAAAAAATTCAGTATATTTTCATTTAAAATTAAATAAAAAATAATAATTAAATTTTATATATTGATAATTTGATAACCATTTAAATTTATTAAAATTATTATATATATATATATATATATATATATATATATATATATATATATATATATATTATTTTAATAAATTAATATTGTTCTCAGTGAAGTAGTGTTGTTTGCATACAAACAAGGAAATACTGGAGCAAAAGGATTTAAAAATATAAACTGATGTTTAGGGCATCTGGTTATATTTTGTGAAGTGGGTCAGGTTGAGAACTAAGTATCTCTCTATTTTCTTTTTCAAAAAGATGTTGTTTTTTTAAATAAAAGAAAACAACATACATTCTTATTTTATTAAAGAACAAAAAGTTGCACAAATGAAATAAACGTATAAATCCATTTATTCTTCCTTTAAGATAAATAATTATTTTAAGTAATTATTATCCCCAGTGTTTGTGCATGTGGTTCTGAAAAAAAATCCTCCACATAAAAGTATTGTTTCTTTTTCTTTGACATTTGTAAAAATAACTGCTGATCCAATAACTCTTAAAAAGTCAGGGATCAATTTTACACTATCAATATTATGAAAAGGTCTCCTTTTCCAAGTTGAAAAAAAAATTCAATATTTTTCAATTTTGACAAATGTCCTTGCTTGAGGAAGGTCAAAGGAATGATAATCTACAAAATTTATTCCTTGAAAAAGTCTTCCTTACTTTTTTAGGAGTGAACTAGTCTATTTAAGTAGTGTCATATGGTGTTAGAGTAACTTAATCAGTAAAAGTAATGGAGTCATTTCAGAGTAAATTTATACTGTTGACCTGAGGGGAAAGCACCAATCAATTTCATTCTGTACTTTGTTTGTTAAGCAGATTCTTGTCAAAAAGAACTCAATGTGACTCCACAATTGTTGGCAAAGTAAAGGAGGAGTGATTGAGCAACTGATTAAACCATTCCTCTATTGTAGTAATGGGGGAATGGTTTACTCAATTGAGCAATCAAATGTTTAAACTATAGCAACACAATTTGTTGCATTGATATCAACTTTGACTCTCTCTCTCTCTCTCTCTCTCTATATATATATATATATATATATATATATATATATATATATATATATATATATACACGTGTGTGAAGTATCATGTTTTTTCTTTCACATATTTTTTATTTATTTTTCAGGTAATTCTTATCTGCCAATGAAAAATTGGATGCCACTTAATGATCAAAATGGATTGTTTAAAGAATTCTTAGATTTATTCATTTCTACCTTTACTGTTAAAAACTATCATATTAATTACTCCTTGTACATAAGTCTTGGTAATAATATCATAATTAAATTTTTTTTTTAATTCATTGTGTCGTAGACATAATGCACATTTCTTAGTCAGATATCAACAAAAAGGCAGCTATAAAATTACATATAGTATTTGTTAAAACCTTTTAAATGATTTCTTTCAATTAAAAACAAAATTTTATATGAATTTAAGCTTGATAATAGTTTGTGATATCTATAAAAATAGTTGATAATTGATTCTTACTTAAATTATACATACAATATAACTACAAATTCTTCTTTTTACCTTATCAAATAAGATTTTAAATTTTAGAATCATTTATCAGAAATTAATTCATATGTTAAGGTTATAAAAATATTCTGGTAGTTTCATAATATTTTTAGTATATATCTATTTAAAAATTTCTTCATTTTTTTTCATTTTGAAAAGATAATGTTCCCCTTTTCTTTTACTGTATCTGTGTTGGTCAAATTGGATTTGGAATCTTTGTTATTTAAAGAGAGTACAGCCAGTGATTTGGCTAAAGAATTCTATACTTTGGAATAATTTCATATTTAACCTACAGAACTAAGAGATCAATGGCAACTTTACCTGTAAGCGATGAGGTTGATAATATTCTTCCACAAGACATTCTTTCCCACTCCTTGTCTTCAAGAATATCTTCTAGAGCCACAAATAGTTATAGCTACTCTGATTCATTTGAAACATCATCATACAAACAAGAAACAGAAGATTGGGATTATCTGACAGCATCACTGAATCAAAAAGACAATTACTCAAAGACTGACTATAAAGATAACTCAATTTCATACCTGGACACTTTTGAATCAGAATCTTCTATTAGTTCATATAAAAGCTTTAAACAAATAAATGAGAGTGGTACAGATACAAAATCACAATCTCTGACTTCTTGCTCTGGCCCTTTGGATAAAAGAACTATTTTTGATATATCAGAATTCAATTTATTTGAAGATTTTTCAGAAAAGCCTAATAAGATTAGATCTACATCACTTGACTCTGATATGAGGTAAGAATATAATTCTTTTACTTTGTTAAGCACGTACAAAAACATTTCTTGAATGAGCTACAAAAATAATTGTCTATTCTTTTAACAAAAGAATAAATCTATTTGATAAAGTTTATAAAATATCTTGACATCTTCATATTTAAAATGCTATAAGTCTTATATGGCCTGAAAGCACTAACCAATGTATTAAAATGTTAGCAACTAATTCTAGAACAATGTGTTATTAAAATGTTATGTCAGAAGTCAGAATGTTGGTGTAAATGCAAGAAGCATAATTCTTTTTAGCCTCTTAGATCATTTTTCCACTCAACATATCATTTTGACTTATATTTTTTTGATTAATAACTTAAGAGTATCTAATATAGGAATCATGACAATACATGTGTGTGTTTTTTTAATTATTTTGCTTAAAAAGCATACAACCCTGAACTAAAATAATGTTTTGTACACCATAACTAATATACTATATACAACTTATAAATAAAATCTCCAAATACACAGAGAAAGCATCTATAGTTTACCAGATATTTTTATCCAAAGCTAGTTAAGATGCATAAAAACACATTTATGTGGCTAAAAGGTTCAATAACAAATAAAGAATTTTTTTTCTTCATTAGTTAGGCCAGAAGCAGGTCCAGGGCAAGTAGACTGTTTTTCTCCTAATTTTCTGCTCTTGCAAAGTAGTTCTGAGTTTTACCAATAGAACAAAATCATAATCACTGTGTATAATGAGTAGTGACCTCTACCTGTGTTAGCAACAAAAAGCCCGAATGACAGCCATAAATAAGGATAAAAAGATTCAGACACAGAACATATCATCAAATTGCTTCATTACAGCCATAAAAACTCAACATCTAGTTAAAAAAAAAAGTACTTAAACTTGTAACCCTGGTTGTTGCAAATGATTTTCCAAAATTGATGCTACCAGGTGAAAGTTCAGAATATTTTTGTTTTTGCTCTAAAATGCAACTGGATATCCAAATATTTTTTACTCCAAAATTAATTTTTTTTTTTACAAACAAGTTAACATATAATGAATAGAATATAAAGAAAACCTATATCCAGAAAAATTCATAAAAATAAACAATTATTTTTGGAATTTCAAGTCTAAGTTTTGTATATTTTTCATTGAACAAATGGAACAGATTTTTTACACTGATTATGTATTGGTTCCCAATGAAAAAATACTACATATACTGTTTACAATTGACATTATTTGTTATCACCACAACTCTATAAAAAAATGTTTATCTGTAAATTAAAAGGGATTTTTTTGTCTATCTTTATCTTTTCATACCATTTCAACTAGTTTATACATCAGTTTCAGTCTTTTGCAAGTAAAAATTTAAATTTAAATTTTTGGTTTATTAGCATTTTAAGAAATGTTTATGTCCCTTTATGTTTTAATTCCAAGTTATCAGATGGAACCCCACCAGACTAGATCATCATCAACCAAACAACTAACTGCATTTGTTGAGGTCTTTTTGATTATTATCTTCTATATAGTATTAATTTTTTGTTTATCTTCTTTGTACAATTTGTTTATAAAAACACATGATGATCATTAACTTAGTATCAAACAAAAAAGACTAGTGAATAAACCAGCTGATATAAAAATGGAGATAGTCTCAAAAGATCATTAAACATTACCATATTTCAGACAAAATTTTGTTTCTGTACTTTGCTGAATTACTTTAGTTTTAGTTAAAATAGCCTATAAATTAACATGAAGAATTTTATTAACATGGTTATAAATTCATACTGTCCCACATTATTCTTAATAATCCTATGCAATGGATTAAACATAGAATTGGAGATTGTTTAGCTCTTATAAAATGCTTTTAATTATTTGTGTGTATTTTTTACTTTTTTCTATGTAAAAAACGCAAAATTTTTACCTGGTGTTAGTATACCCGCCATATCTGGTCAAATTGGCCATAAAGATAGAAAAAATATACACGTGTGTTTTTATTCTTAAAACTATGAGCAATGTATGTTAAATAGAAAACAATAAACAGTATATGATATGATGCAATATGTTATGCATGGATAATCCTTTCGCTAGGTACTGTTCAAAAGCGGCCTAAGGGCGATAACTCGATAAAAAAAATTTTAAAATAAAATTAAAATATTTAAAATGAAATTCTTGAAATTATCAACTGATTTTATATGGTGTGTTATTTATATACTTATTGCATCGTTTTATCTATTTTTAGACTTAATTTTCTAAATCAACTATTTAAGGTTGCTGTTAAATTGTGCATAATCCATGGAATTAATAGTAAAATCAATCACAACTTTGATTTTTAATCACAAGAGACAGTTATCAGGAAAATATTTAGTTTTGACTTAAATTGACAAAGCTCCTTTTTATTAAAATGTTTTAATAAGTTTGTATATTAGAATTATTATATTATGTTGAGTAGTGATACAAAAACAATTGATAAAATTATGCAAAGGAACAATGAACTATGCATTCTAAACATCACCAAGTTTGGCAAAGTTTAACCTACATACCTGCAAAAGGACAGTTTATCTCTTGACACTGCTATTACTGTATGCTCCTTCAACTATGTTTATTGTTTTAAAATACCATATGAACTACAATGCAATATTTATTATTTACCATTTTAAAAAAGATTTAGTATTTACTATTTTATAAAGAAATAAACATGTAAAACATCAGCTAATTGTTAATCCATTCAAATATTCACATGTTTTAATAACCTTGTAAATCTAAAATTAGTCTTGTAAATAAACAATCTAACTAAATAGTGTGTATTATTTTTGTTCAGACTGTTGTCCTCAACTTTATTGTCATATTCACAATGTTTTAGTCATTGTACACTCTGGCCTTCTTCAGGTGATATACATTAAATACTTTATGAAAAGTACATATTTTGACAAGTGTGACAGTGTAAAACATTTGACCAAGACTTTTATAAATGCACTGAATAGTACAGTTTTGTATTCATTAGCTATACCTGTCAAATTATCTCTTTATCATGAGTATGACAATAAACTACATCTGGTAGTAAGGCCTCTGACTGGGAGATTGGAACCACCTCTTAATTGCTGTCATTCACAGGTCCATCCTGACCTGGAGTTGTTGCACTTGTTAGGGTCTCATCTATGGGCAAATAGTGACCCCCCCAAAAAAAAAATTAATAGTACATTTTATAATAAAATGACAAGCAATACATTTTTATAGTAAAATGACAATCAGTGCAACACTAAAAAAATACAAAAATACATATTTATAGTAAAATTACCAACAATACATTTTATCATCTACAAAATATATATCTAAAAAACTGTAGTTGAAAGCATAAAATTACATACCAAATATTTAATTTTCAACATTAAATAGAGGTTTATATGCTGCTAAACAAAATTAACCAACCAAACAATCATGACATTAGTTCATATAATGTCCTACAGTTTCTTAAAGGAATCAAACAGTATTCCAAAATATAACTTCAACAAAACTACAACACAAAACACACACATAGAGCTTCTAGTAATCATATCCACACAAACATGTATATGCACAAAAATTGAGTATTATCTACCATGTATTCAATTGTGAAAGCAGAATAACATATATCATGTACTTATTATTTCAAAGTTCTGAATAAAATTAAATTTCTACATTAAAAAACCCACAAGGAAATGATATGCCATTAAATCAATTAACAATAAATTATCTCCAACTTTTGTGACGTCTTGTTTAAGGTAAGAGAGATATTGTTCTTTGATATATATTTATTTGAATTGTGTTGTTCTAAGTTGTACACATGAAAAAGTAAATAATTTTGTCAACACAAAAATTGACATATAAAAATATATAGTTTTTCAAAATATCAATTTTTTTCTGTTTACAAAGGCTTGAAGGGGAGATAACTTCAGAAAAAGAAAAATCAAAACTGGTGAATATTTTTTCAATCTCTTTTTCTTTTTTTCTTTATTAAATCTGTTGGTTGTAAATATTGTAATTGAACCATTCGCAAATATTTTTAATTCATTAAATATTAGTAGACAAGTACTCATGAACGTACAGAAATTTCTATCTATTTTTTTGTTTTTCATTAGAAATTTAATAATTTTTCTATACTATTCTTCTTTATATGCCACGCCCTCTCAGGACGTAGATGATCATAGCTCCTTAATGCAAATTAATTAATTATATTTGGAAGTTATAAATAAAAATTAAATAAGTTATCAATAAATTATCAACTTACATCAAAAAATATTGTTTCATGAGTTAAAATTAGGTAAATTATATATGTGTATAATTTCAATTCTTATTAATTGGGAATATTGTTATCAAATGATCTTTGATCACATTATAGAATAGTTGACATTACAAAGAAGGACAGTTATCAACATTTCTAGGACAGAATATTACTTAGCAAGTTATTTATACTCTATTTAACACACCTTATATACCAGACCCTAATGTCAAAGTCTATATATCACATACCATACTCTATATATCATGCTCCCTATATGCCACACCCTGTATAATAGACCCTTTCAATATTTAATAAGACACTATTTACATTATTTGGACTATTGTCTTCATCTTTGTTGCAATATTTATCACAATATATTCAGCCGTTGTAACCCTTTATTTCACTCACTGGTGGAGACTGTTCTAGTTCCATGTGCCATGTCTAATGGATGATATCAGTTATCTCCTGTTAACTTATCTCTCCAAGTTCTCCACTGCCTCAACCAGGTATTAAACTCACACTGTCACTGGATCTAACCAATGCCTTTATCCACTGTGCCATGTGTCCTTAAGGACATCTGTGTATGAATTTCTGGGACTCATAAACCTAATGTCTTCAGCAACCATTTTTTACCAGTGCTCATATTGCAATTTTTGCTGTTATCATTGCATGTTTTTTTTACCAGAGCTCATATTGCAATTTTCTTTGTTATTATTGCTTTCCTCTGGCACTTCTTATTACTGATTCCCATATTGTATTCATTTCTTTGCTTGGTCGCCTCAGGAGATTTTTGTAGCCTAGCATATGTGCTGATTCCTTAAGTTTACGAATTTTCCAATGATGTTCTTTGTTTATGATTTTTAACCTGATCCCACAGAGGGCAGTGATTTCCCTTTTCTCTCCATATGTGGTCAGCCATGCCTGATTTTTCCACTTCCCCTCATGTTACAGCTTTTTGGTGTTTTTGAAGCCTTACCTTAAGGGAGTGACTTGTCTCCTCTTTATATTTCTTCCGCAGTTTGCACAGGATGGTGTACACACAATCTTTAGTCATGTTTTTCTATGGGGTGGGGGGGTCTTACTTGGGAGAGGTATCTGTGAAGTGTCATCCAGCTTTTGAAGATTGTCCTGATGTTATATGGACTGCAGATTCTTTGTATTATCTCCGATAACCCCTTCACATAAGGCAGGCAGACTGTTTTCTGAGTATTGTTGTCCTCCTCTTGTGCTCGCCTATCCCAGTTTTTTTTGGCTGCTGCCATGTACCCAGGGTAGTTGTTACATTGTAGGGTACTGCTTATACTGACCAATTCCTTATCTCTGGGTCACCACCTCATCTCAGAAATCTAGACAGATGCAAAACTTAGGAAGTTAATCTTGAAGGCTATTTGCTTGTATCGTAATTCATTCACAAAATTTTGAAGACCTATATACATGACATATATAATAAGTAAATATTTTGGGGGGGTATCTATGTAGGTAATGTTTTTTTTTTATTAAGTTATTATTGTAGGCCATTGTTTATACCAGAATTTCAGTCCTTATCTGGCCTAATATACAGTAACAAGAAATTATTGGGCACATAGGATATTTTAAAGAAATAATAATTTCTATTATTACTACTAAAACTTGAGATGAATATAGTAAATAATCAAAATATACTAAGTATAAAGAGAAATAAAGAAATGTTTGCAAACATATAACTTTGAAAAATATAACAGACAGTAAAATACAAAAGTTTTGAATATCTCAAACTATATTCAGTATTTAATGGTTTATCCATTATTTGATGGCTGTTAGACATTTGGAATAATTTGAGGTAAGCTTCTTGGAGAAATTAACATTTCTTAACACTCCTGTTAACATTAACATAATTTAAGTTTTAGGGATTCCTTTGATTAACACAAATAAGCACCTCTTCACCTGGAATTATTCTACTGTTTTCACTGCAGCAATTCTTAGGACTGTAATATTTTTTTTTATTATTTAAGCATTTCACCCCAATCAAGATGGGAGTGCCACTAATATGCAAGTGGGTTACAGTGAGTGAAACTAAGAGAAGAGACTGGATATATTGGGGATTGAGGAAAAGGATAAAAAGAAGAACTGGGATCAAGGCATCAGAATTAATTGACATTACATTTAAATTTTTGAAGATTATGCTGAAAAATTCAGCTTCTTTGTAAAATTTTACAGATGTAAAGTTATTCTCCAGTATTTTGCAATACTTAGCACTATCCAATGTTTCATTGATGATATGTAGTACACTTATACTACTGAAGAGAAAAGCATCCTAAAACATTTAACAGTCAGGATAGTACTTTTTTGGGGTGGTGGGGTCATATAAAGAGTCCTACTTTCTTCTGATGTGTATAGAACTATTACCAGAAGAGAGATTGATTGTTAGGCTAGAATGTAGTAGTGTTCTCACAAGATGATAAGCAAACTATAGATGAGCCTTCATATTCCTAGGATTCAACGAGGATCTTTCAAGGAGAATCTTTCATGATTCCAGTCTTACCCAAATGAAGTGTCTGATTAATTGTATGCTTGCTCACTTTTTTGCCAGCTTTTGAAGTTCGCCCTCTGCATTACTTTCTGACTTTCTAGTTGCCTGTTCATTTACTTCATACAGACATCTTTGTCAAGGAAGATGAATAGTCAGGCAATGTTTCTTTCATATTTTAATGATGGCTCTGATAATTCTGATAGACATATTGAACTCACTGAGGATAATTTGATGTTCCATTCCATAAATATGGTGACCAATTATCACCTTGAAAAATTCTTTTAAAAATTCTCTTGTCATTCCCTTGTCATCAACATTGTGAAAACCATTGTCAGTGATGTAATGGAATAACCTATCACCCCCATGAGTAACTACACTATAGGTATCGGTAAGTCGGACTATGGAGTCTAGCTGGGATCTGTTGAATACAACTCAGACTTACATGAGAACTACCGACCTTCAAATAGTAGCACTTACTACTGAATTGACTTGCAATGATTGTGTACATAACTGTTACCTTATTTCTTATTGCACTGGTTTTACAATAAAACCTTTACTTATTTTATCCACCATGTTTGTCAAGTATACATTCCTATTAGCACAGAATATAACAGTCAGTCAAATTTCCAATGACCAATAAAAATACATGTAGATGTTGTAAGTTGTTAGCTATGGTATATGGCATGTTCTGATTGGTAAATATTGTGAATTGTTGGTTATGGTCAGTGTACATTTACAAATTAATAATTTGAATTAAAGTCAATCTGAAGTTGCAATTTTTATCCTCAGAATGTCTCTACAACTTATACATGTTACTTTCCACAGTATTTGACAATAAATTTATGTGTAGGCAAACATTTCTTTATTTATCCATATACATAATATATCCTATTTAATATGTTCAACTCAAGTTTTAGTTTAGTAGTAATAATAGAAATTGCTATTTTCTTTAAAAATCCGATGTGTTCAATACTTTTGAGTGCCACTCTAGCTATCTATAAGTAAATGTTTACTTTGAATGCATGACATATGAAATAGTTTAACATGTTAGTTTTGTAGGCCATCCTCACTGTTTGTTCATGCTCCATATCCCTGACAGAGAAATAAATGTTTTCTTTGAATACTTACTATAGGTAATGGTATAGCAGACTATTGCTTGTAATAGGATTTCAGTAACATTTAAACTACTTGGAACAAAGGTAAAATGAAACCAAAAATAGTTTATTTGCATAGAAAATTATAGAAGCTACCAACATTCAACTTCATATTTTCTTAAATATTTAATTTATAAGGTAGCCAAAATTAACAAAACCATGATTTTAGTATGACATGTGCTAGAAAAATGTTTTAACCTAAAATAAAAGTTTCTCCACAAAACAAAATATCTATGACATTATCTTCAGACATGTAAGAATATGTGGTAAAAATATAAAAAAATTTTGCAAACTGCCTAACTGGTTTACTGTTCTCATGAAAACAGGCAATTTTAAGGATGTTAAAACATTAATTAATTTTCAAACAGTAATACTAACATTACTATAATAGGAATAAATATAATTCATTTAAATAAATGCTCTGTTTTTTAATTAAACAGTATTAATTAAATTTATAAACAGAAAATGTCAGACTCAATACATTTTATATGTTGTCATTGTTTACATTAAGATACGTTCCATGAGCAGAAATGATTAATCAAGAAAAATCAACAAAGGTTTGTGTTTATAAACAGTAATTCGGACTTTGCTAACCAGACATTTCTCTGTGGTTGAATGGTAATAGCACGTCAGGCTATATGACTGTTCCCATAAGGGTTACAGATTTGATTCCTATCAGAGTGCTCATGTTTTCTATTAAATTTCTTGAACATTCAGGCCAGTAAATGTAATTAATACTGTTTAATTAAAAAACAGACCATTTACTTAAATAAATTATACCTATAAAAATAACATATAAACAGAAAATATATTAAATAATTGTCAGGCTTAATCTATTTCATTATCTATCTATCTATCTATCTATATATATATATATATATATATATATATATATATATATATAAATTTTTTCACTATTTTGTTTGTATATATTTTCCATTTATTTTAACATATTCCTATGTACAAATCTTATTGATTTTGTTTGAAGATATTTATTTTATTTTATTTACATATATTTTTTTCATTTTATT